TAATATCATGTTTGAAACCAAGAAGTGTAGTATGTTACTCAAAGAATTTGATCTGGTCAATCAGAAACAATGAATTGAGGACATTTTATTACGGCTGACAATCAACTACGTTTTATTTGTAAATATCATAACATAAAATACGACTTGCGTTTATCAGAATGTTTTTTATTTAGCAATATTTCACCGTTTCACGTTGGCGGGAATATTTTATGATTCCCGCGTAATGTATTTATAGGCATGACCCGCGCTAGCTTTGTTCATGTCAACAGACGATATCAGTACCCCGGGTCAATGACTTGTCGCGGGGCAGTTGTTTATCCCGGGATCATGTGAACAGGGCCTGAGTGTGCATCCACACCAGGCAAGCTGAAAAGTTTGCCTGACCACGGTAGGAATCAAACCTGCAACCTTTGGGATACCAGTCCAATGCTCTGCCAACTGATCGAGCCACGAAGTCAAGTCGGTTCGACTAGTTGGTGACTTGACCTCGTAGTTCAGTTAGTAGAGCATTGGTATCTCAAAAGTCTTGGGTTCGATTCCCACCGTGGTCAGGCAAACTTTTAAGTCCGCCCGGTGTGGATGCACACTCAGAGCAGCCTCGTACCCAGGCGCAAATAACGTGCTAAAAATAGCAACACTACAGTGTTTTTATATAGATCAGTGCCTAAGATGAGCGAGCGCGCAGGGGTGCTTGGGGAGGACACGACGGGACCCCGCGCGCTCCAGTGGCGCGCTCGCTCATGTTAGCCACTGATCTATATAAAAATACTGCAGTGTTGCTATTTTTAGTACGTTATTTGCGCCTGGGTACGAGGCTGCACTCACAGTAACATCAGAAACATCATATTCACCTGAGTACATAACACCAACACACACAAGGAGATGAATATTTTACCATGAAAACACTTTGTCCGGGTAACTTGGCCACCCGAGATAGAATGTATGTGCTTTGCATTTCAAATATAATGGCTCAAAAATACATACGAATCATTAGATAAGTTTTCCTGAATTTTTCGACGCTTATTCTTGTATTTTGAAGATATCTTGTAAAGTTTTTTAACATTTCAAACAACATAAATCCTTTTTGTGTTTTGGCGTCATTTCGGCGTCATTTCCATATAATCCGAGCGCTTGTTTGTCACGCCTGGGCGAGTAAATCACCTTGCCGGGTAACTCGCCTTCATATAAACAGCCCAGTTAGACAACTAAATTTTATTTTTAAAAATGTATATCATATCAAATATTGACTATAGACACTCCAATGTTCTACCGAACAGGGTTAGCGCTAAAGCGCCCCCCCCCCCCATTCAAAACGGCCCAGGCACGGATTTTCTGGGGGGGGGGGGCGAAATACTTTGAACCCCCCAGAGGCATTTGGCACCGCCCCCTAAAAGTTTTTGCACCCACGCAAATTATGTATATTTTGATTTGATATTTTCATATTTGATTATTCTTACTACTAAATTTGTAAAATTACTTGAATATTATGGTATCGGATCTCGCCAGGCAGGCCTAGAAAACAAGTTTTGTTAAACATTTTTCTTGGCCTTTCTGGGCGTTCCCACCAGACTCTAGTCAAAGCAAGCAGCAACACCTCCCAAATATTTATCGCCCCCCCCGAACGAAAATCCGTCTCTGAAGAGGTCTGATACTGAAACAACTCTACCCCAAGAGTGGAGGGAGGAGGAAGGACTGGGTGGAACACCTCTTTCCACTCCCCGGTGATCAGGTAGTCCACTCGCCAACTCCCTCTCGCCAAAAGTTTAGGGAAAAGAAATATGAATAAGTTGTTCTAGTGACTTGGCAAAATTTTACTTGAAAACTTGGCGTAATTCACACTTACACCCCACCCCCACCCCCACCCCTGCCTAGCCATTCAAAGGGGTCTGATACTGAAACAACTCTACCCCAAAATTCTTCTGTCTCTGGTATACTCAGACCCCGTTCACACGATACCAGCAGAGTTACGTTTAGAGGTTGCGTTCACACGATGCCGGTATGAAAAAATGTAAAACCATATCGCTAACCGTAAGAGTTTGAAAACGATATACAAACCGTAAGAGTTGGAACGAAATTCTACCGTGTGAACGCCTAACTCTAAGAATTTCATTACGGTTATGCAAAATGAAATGAACAAAACTGCAAAAGTTGTTGTTGGATATTTTATTCTGTCTATATTAACTGATTTGTGCAGCATGTTTGTCAAAGCGGAATATAAATCTGCCGGTATCGTGTGAACAGTTGAAACCGTGATGATTTTCTCGGGGTCTCAGTCAATTATATTTATAAACATACTGGGAAAGCTCTTTGCAGGTAAACTATGCGAAGCGTTCCTCTTTAGTTTTGACTTCCTAACTCATGTGAACAGTTGAAACCGTGATGATTTTCTGCCCGCAGAAACGTGTGAACGGGTCTCAGTCAATTATATTTATAGACATAGGAAAGCTCTTTAACTATTGATAGACCTCTCAAAAATGAATCACATTCTTTTCTTTTCTTTTCCAAAACTGTTTTGTGTGCCAAGCAGATTCGAAGGTTTATATTTATAGACGGAAGCAAGCGAGATTTGAAGATTATTTTACAGTTAAAGATGCTGTAAATGCTCATAACAATGGGGGACCCGCAGATATAAATATTGCGCAAATTTTTTGGGCTAAATTGCAGAATACCCGTCCACTAGTCATCTTTCACTGCGTAGCCATATTCTCAGTGACAGTGGCTATGCAGTCACGCGCTATGAAATTACAATATCAAGGTAACACGTAATTATATCACTGCATGTCTCGTTCTTTTAAAAACTCACTGCGTAGCCACTACAAAACTACCTTTCTTGCCTTCCTTACAATTACGTCATTATACCAGTGGAATGGCTCGTTATTTTAAAAAGCCTAAAATAGCTAAAAACTCACTGCGTAGCTGCTTAGCCACTAAAAATATATCTACTTCAGTAATTACGTAATTATACCAATGACAATGTCTCGTTCTTTCAAAAACTCGCTGCGTAGCCACGTAGCCACTAAAAATATACCTTCCTTATGCTGATACAATTACATCATTATATCAATGTCTCGTTCTTTTAAAAACTCACTGCATATAACCAGTGAAAAATATAGCTACCTTATAATTTACGCAATTGTTATACGAAAAACTCGTTCGACTCGTTCTAATTTAAAACTCACTATACGTAGCCACCAATATTTCTAGCGGGTCTTCAAAAGTGGACGGATATTGACAGCATTTTTAAGCTTTTTAATTGTTCTAAAATACGGTCCGTAGATGTTCACTATTTAATTAGTTGTTCTAAGTGTTAAAAGTTAAAATGTACTCACCGGTATGGCGTTGTGTATCCCTCAGAAGTCTCAGAAACCAGAGTATTTCCACTGCTATTCCACTGCTACTTTAGCATAGATATTCAAAGCAATTTAAGGAATTCATTCCTTTCAATGTGAACAGCAAGATATCTATGGTCAACAGCCCTCTGATGCGGAACGGAACGGTATGGGGTTAAAATGAAGTTATAAAATATGCAAAATTTGGTTTGATAGTGAAACAATTTAAATTTCGAGTTGCCGCGTGTAGCATCACCATAAATAAATAAAATGTATCAATTCCACGAGGCACGACGTTTCTGATGTGTTAGGTCTGTTTCAATCGTCGTGCTACTCATGTGCCGAGCGCCATTAAAAACAACAGATGAGGCCGCATTTCATCGTGAATAGCGCAACATTTGAAACAGGCCATAAACTTACTTCAAACTTTGATAGCGCTCATATTGTCCCCGAGCCGGCGGCGCGAAGCGCCGTGCGAGGGTACTAATTCCCCCCGGCTATTTACACCCGGGGAAACGAAAGCATTAGGGAAGTCTAAAGTTCATCAAATATCGCGGGCGTGGGTCACTGTGCGTGTTTCGGTGGGTG